GGGAGCAGATTCAAAAATTGGAGTACGTTACTCGGGATATGCTTGCAGAGGAGATGAGTGAGCTCCGAAATACTTTAACTTTATATTGGGAATATCTGCCCAAGTAGAAATTGAAAGAGTTTAAATTACTCTACAAATTCACTCTTCAAATGAAAGAGAAGGTGACATTAAAATGTTTATCTCATGTAAACCTCCGACTTTTTCTGGTGAGAGAGACCCAATAAAGGCTATATGTTGGCTAAAAGAGATTGAGTCGGTCTTTAATACCAACAAATGTTTATATGAAGATCGAGTTAGATTTGTTGTTTCTACGCTCAAATCACATGCTCTATACTCGTGGGAAGTTGAGTCATTGTCTAAACCCAATATCTTGCAATCAATGTCATGGATGGAATTAACAGATAGATTTAAAGAACAGTTATTCCCTAAAGCAGCAGTGAGGCAGTTGGAGGAAGAATTTGTGAAGTTAGAATAGGGAAATCTGATGGTACAAGAGCATACAGAAAGATTTATTGAACACTCCAGATTTGTTGACCATTATATTTCCTCGGAATCCCGCAAGGTTGAATGATATATTTGGGGATTGAAACCCTTTATCAGAGAGTTTGTGATTGCGATGGATCCCATTACCTTCTCATATGTTGTTGATGTAGCTGAAACTACTGAGAGGAATAAGAATAGACCGATGAAGAGAAAGTTGGGTATAAAAGAAAGTGGGATGGATCTTCAACAAGAACTTCGAAGATCCAAGTTTGTGAAATCTGAAAATAGTCCACTTTAAAGATTCAATGAGAGACCTTGCCCAAGATGTCACCATGTCCATCAAGGTGAATGCAATGTTAAACAAATAAGGTGTTATAGATGTGGGGAGTCGGGCCATCTTTCTAAAGGCTGTCAAATGCCTCAGCGCTGCTTTCATTGCAACTCTCCCAATCATATCAAACCAGATTACCCACAACTGAGAAATCAAAGATCAAATTTGGTTGGTAACCCTCAGAGTAATCGTGGGGGTATCACTGTCAGAAGGGGTGAAACTGGAAAGGCTAAAGAGCAATCCTTCCAGATGTCAAGAGGGGAAGCGGAGGAAGTTCCGGATGTGGTAATGAGTATGTTTCTTATAAACTCCGTATATGCTAAGGTGTTATTTGATTCTGGTGCGAATTATTCATTTGTATTACCATTATTTGCTAGATGTTTATATTTGAAACCTGTACCCCTAGACTGTGCATTAGTAGTTGATACTGCTAATAATAGTCAAGTTTATGTTACCAAAGTGTATAATAATTTCCAAATAGAAATAGAAGGGTGTATGATACGGATCCGATTATCCCCTATGCCAATAAGGGAATTTGATGTGGTAGTGGGCATGGATTGGTTGTTAGAAAATCAAGCCCAACATTGTATGTAATAAGAAGATGGTACATATTGATCTGTCGTGGAAGGGTACATATTTATGGTGATCAGCGGGATCATCATACAAACCCGATTTCTATTCAGAGAGCCCGAAAATGTATTCAAAAGGGGTGCCAAAACTTCTTGGCTTATGTGGTTGATTCTAAAAAGGAAAAAAAGTAAACAAGAATCTATGCCAGTAGTTTGTGAGTACCCAAAAGTATTTCCAAATGAATTGTCCAGTTTACTTCATGATCAGTCAGTTGAGTTCCAAATTGACCTAACACCCGAAACGACATCGGTAGCCAGAACACCATATCATTTGGCACCATCTGAGCTGAAAGAGTTGATGACACCGTTGAAATAGTTTCTGGATAAAAGTTTCATCATACCTAACACATATCCTTGGAGTGATCCAATACTATGCGTCATGGTAGGGCATGGCGCCCCATGGGCATGCCATAATAGAAGTAGTAAGAGTTATGTAAGAGCGGTATTAGAAGTACCCAATGCTTACAATTACGCCACAATAGAAACATTAGAGATTTCTTGATGCAATTACATAGACTACCTTCAATCAATACCGGTTAAACGTATACAAAAAATATTTAAATTATAATTGTACTCACGAAGATATTGATTAAAATAATTGATATCATTGCAAATGTTGATAACGCCTTTTATTTTATAAAATAATGATCAATCAAATTTTTAAAAAATCAATACAACTATAATAAATAAAAAATTATAAAGGTTATTTTTTATTTTATTTTTTTTAACATTGAAAACATAATTAATAAATTGTTTGACGGTTGTTGAACGATTAATATGATCAGGGTATAACAATAGTAAAATAGAAAAGTAATAAATGAAAGGGGTTAAAAATAAAAGTTTAATTACATTGTTTTGAGTATATTTTTGTGTTTTAAAGTATGCAAAAATGTAGATTTTGGTAGGAATGAATATGAATAGAATTTATTTTAAAAAAACTATTTAATTTAATATGATCAAAATTGTCTTAATAATTTTTTTTATTACATTTATGTATTTTTTAAATCAATTAATTTTTTGATAACTTTATATAGTTTATTAATTTTTATTTGTCAAATATGATTAACTATTAAACATATGATTAAATGTAACGCTTCAACCCACATATTGCATGTAATACATATTTCATATAAAGGAAATACATAATATCATTCCATTCGGGTCCCTTAGTACAAGAATCTAACATGACCAATTACAAGGTCCAAAATTTCGAAATACATTTCTTGTACTAATTAATCAAAACAGATCTCCAAGTAGAAACGCATATAGGAAAATATTACACCTTCCCCTTCCCCCTTACTGTCCGAACCTCCTGCAACACATAGTTAAAATTACAAAACGAGGGTTAGACCGAAAGGTCTAGTGAGATACCCTATTTATGTTATTG